TCTCTAAGGTGAATAGCCTACACCTGGGCTACATTTATAATCCCAATGTTCCAAGGAGATGGAAAAATAAGTTATGCAGATGCTTAGTGAGAGACCCTCAGAAGGGCACCTGTGCAATGCACTTAAAAGCATCTCCCTCTCTGGCAACAAGACAGTCACCATGGGGAAGCTCAGGCCCATCCACTGTGTACCACCTCAAGGAGTGTTTCCTTCTCTGGGAGATTTGGGTGACCGCAGATCTGTCTACACCTCCCAGTACATTCCCTATGTATGCACTGGCTGATGAGTGCAGTACATGCAAAACCAGACGCCTGGGAAATAAGAGAAAGTGTACAGCAGGAAACCTAAATGGGCCTAGAGTTGCCCTCAAGAAGTAAAATCGGCTCAGTGTAGAAATCATTTGTCATGGCCCTGTGGGGGAATACAGAATACAGCACTTCAGGAAAGTAGGATGTCAGAGGAGGGAACCAGATTGAGGATGATAAGGAAGAGAAAGAAGAGGAGGAAGTTAAGGAAGTAGATGAGGAAGAGAGAGAGAGAAAGAGAGAGAGAGAGATTAATGAGTTGGATTACACTGGGTTTTGGAACCTTGATTCTTGCGCTATTGAATACCTTGCATACTTCCAGGGTCCAGTCCATGTTTCCTCTCTCTTTGTACTTACATCCAGGAGATAGCTCCTTATGAGTCTGAGCTTCCTGACTGGGAGGGAGTTCTGCCTTCTCCAGCTGATCTCACATAGATGGCAGGTCAGTTGGGGGGTACTATGTATGAATTTAAGAAACCTTATGTTTGTTTTGCACTGTAGTTCTTAAATGTGGACAATATGGTATTTCAATTCCCACCATTTTTTAAAGTGGTGAGAATTTTTTGGAGAAGGAGTATTTTAACTGGCACCTGTAAACTTTTGAAAGATGTACCTATATACAAAGATGTTAAAGGTCAAAGTTTCAGCATTAGTATGCATTATCTGCTGTAATTCAGGAACATTTGAAATGTTGTTTGGGCTGGGTATGTTATCTGTAAGGAGTCTATTTGCATGCCAGACAGAGGAGGCTCCTGGGAAATAACTCACCATAAATGCAGAAAGAATGCAGTGGATAAGCTTGTTCCAATAGTAAAGCTTCCCTGTGGGGCCGGGGGGGGGGGCAATGTTTGTATTTACATTATAAGAGCCTTCACAATCTTAAGTTTGGGAACAAAGAAGAGATATTAATCCTTAAGGGAAAAAATTTGCTAAGCAAATGTGAGCTATTTTCAAAAAGAAAGTTGGTAAGATATTCATACATAAGGATTGACACCAGAAGAGCCAGTGATCAACTGTAACTCCAAAGAGCCAAAGCATTCTCCCCAAATAAATGTAGGGTATACTGTGACTTCATAGCACTGAGATACCCAAGAACATGGTGGACCGAAGGCAGCCCTATGCTGGGCAACTGAAGCAAATGTGACAGTCCTGCATTTACAGGGGGGGATTAGCACACACACAAAAAGAAAATGGTGGCTATCATTTTAGGTTTTTATAGGGGACATGTGTTCATTGTGCACCTGGTGTGTAACTATTCCTCTTGCCTTGGCAATAGAAGTATTGCATCACCTTGGACAAGGCAATTATTTTCTGGGAGTGTAAACAGTAAGGTTGATTATGTAAAATGCTGCTACCTGTGACCACCTTCCTTGGTTGCCTAATGAAAGTTTGTATACAGGTGAATGAAGCCTAGCTGAAACACAGAAACAGAGCTCAGGGACTTTGTTTGAGCACCTGGATCTTGCTTTGCCAGCAGCTTGCCTACACACTGCTTGACTTCTCAGTCCAAAAAAAAACAATACTTCTCCCCCCTTTAAATTTAACGTAAGCTAATTTGATTTGGAATTTTGTCACTTGCAAGTGGGAGTTTATCAGTACACATGAATTATCCCCTTGGAGTCTCCCAATAATTAATTGGGGGTTACTGTGCAGGAAGATGGAAGAGCTGCAATGGTAAGTGAAGGCAAGAAGAGTCATTATGTATAGTACACAGGATGGGGCAAAAAATTCAGAAGAGCATGTGATGTTTGTTCTCAGGTTATCCTTTGGCCTCTCAATTGCATATCTCTCATTCTCCTCTATCTCTTTCAGTATTGCTATGGGTTGAATTATGTCTACACCTCTCAAAAATAGACATGTTGAAGTTTTAACTCCTGGTACCTCAGAATGTGATCTGATTTGCAAACAGGGTTGTTGCCTATGTATTTAGATAAGATGAGGTTATACTGGAATAGAGTGAGCTTCCAAGTCAATATGACTGGCGCCCTTAAGAAGAGGAAACAGACAAAAGGAGAATGCCATATGACTACAGAGGCATAGGTTGGAACGAATCAGCTGCAAGGCAAGAAATTTTGACAGACACCACCAGAAGTTGGGAAAAGACAAGGAAGGATCTTTCCTGAGAGGTTTCAGAGGGAGTATGGCCCTGCTGAGACCTTGATTTTGGTCTCCTAACCTCTAGAACTGTGAGGCAATAGGTTTCGGTTGTTTTATGTCACACAGTTTGTGGCAGCCCTAAGAAACAAATGCAAGTATCTTCATGTCTCCCACTTCATCTACTTTGCTGCTAAAAAAAAAGTGTTACAAGCTTAATGATTTTGAGGATATTAAAATTTCCTAGAAGATTTCCATTTGAGAAGAGAACCGATGAGACATGGCAATAAATGAGTCTATAATGGTGGAATTTTAGACATAGAGGTAGGGCAATCTCTGAGCCCTGTAAGTCTGTAAGTGCCCTTTATAAGAGAGGTTTCAATATTGAGTATCAGGGTGACTTTGTGATTTTTAGAGATGTATCAGGAACCATTGCAGAAAAGGGGCGAGTGACAAGAGAAAGGCTAGGGGGCTGTGTTCCAGAGACCTCACTCCAGATGCAATCCCAGTAGCTCTCTTTTATGTTTTGTGATTCCATATAAGATTTTGTTGAGAAAAAAGAGTTCATGTGTTAAAATGGATTGACACTATTCAACTCACACTAAGTTAAAACATGTTTTTTCCTTTCGTTATTTCTGAAAAATGTGCCACTTACATATATGTTTACCACTAAAGCAGAGAGCTGTTAGTTTCTGTCATGAATCTAGGGTGAGGAAATAGGGACGCACAGGAGACACCAGCATTATTCCCCCTCTTTTTGTTTTTAGCTATTTTGATGGGTGTAAGAGGACAGATTAGCTGTTTTTCTTTATTGTTCTCTTTTTAAAACTGAGAATCAAGATCTTCATGATCCAAAATATGCTATTAGACTTTTTAAAGTAAAATTCAAAATACTGAGTTTATTCAAGTTGTTGATTTATTGGCTGTCTTTCTTTTTATTTACTGTTTGCCATTGGGTAAACAGAGGATGCTATCAGGATGTATTATTTGCATTTGATTGAGGCAGAAGCAGTACTTGAATACAAACAAATTTGTGGCTGATGCTGGAAGAGTGTATGTGGGGAAAAAGTGGCTTTTAGTTTTCTGCAATTGTAGAAGTATAATAACAATTCTTACACATTTGTGTCTCTTTACACTTACACATGCATTATCTCACTGGAAACTCGTACCTGGGAGGTATGCAGCCTGGTTTTCCCATCATCATCCCACAGATGGGGTCAGGGAATCAATCCTTCCTGGCTTGAGGCCAGTTAGTGAGGGGAAGGTGGGATCACCACCCATGGATCTTGAGACCCTTGTTTTGTACATTAAGTGGTGTGTTTCTTTCTTCTCCTCCTTCTTCTTCTCCTTTTCCTCCTCCTCCTCTTCCTCCTCCATCTTCTTTTTAAAGAGGGGTGAGGTAGAGAGATAAGTCTTAAATACCTAAAAAGGACCTTCAGGCTTACATTATCTCCACCACTGCTGCCATAAAAGTTTAAGTCAGAGCGTGCTTTGGTTGGGTATTTGAGATAAGGAACATGTCCTAGGATACAAATAGAGTGTACCACCACCAATTCCATTAAGAAAATTTCCCATTTAAACATATGGATCCTAAAATGCTCTCCAAATCATAGTAACTAATCTTTCATCCACCCACTCTCTTACCTTCAGTAAAGAAGCTCAAACAGTCAACACAAGTACACCCAGAGCCCCCAGCACTGCTGGGGGAGGGTGTGGGGGAATGTGGGGGCAGGTGAGTAGCCGCTCAGTTTATCCCAGGAGAATGGATTTTGGAATGCCATAAGAGTTTTCTTTTCCTTCTTTGTCTTCCTTTGACTCCTCCCAGCTCCCTCCCCATGCAAACTCCGTTTTTAAAGTTCTGTTTCCAGATTGGGTACATTGAAAGGGAACAGATTAATGTGGACCGTCTGGTTGAGAAAGGAGGAAAATGGTTTTTACTAGTACGGCCGCTGAAAAATCAGGGACAGAGAAACTTTGTAGCTCAGGGAGAAACACCACCTCAGAGTCCAGGCTCCAGACCCGTTTTTTTTTTTTTTTTTTTTTTTTTTTTAAATAAAGTAGCCCAAGGGGACAAGGGGTGTAAGTAGGAGTTTCCACTTCCCAGATTTTGGCTCCAAGGGCAGATGAGTCGGAGGGAGAGGAAATCCCAGAGCTTCCGAAAGCATCCTCTGGTGCTGAAAAGGAGTTTCAGGGTTGGCTTGGGGAAATGTAAAAGTAGGGGGGGAGCCAATGGGGGTGTGCTCGGAGAGGCCTTAAAAAATAAAGGGGACACAGACAAACTGTGAGTGAGAGAAAGGGAAGCAGAGAGGCAGGGTGTGAAGCGAAGGGAACCAGCAGGACACAGCTCGCGCCCACGGGGCGCTGGGGTGGGGGCCAGCGAGGGAGCCCAAGAAGTGCCGCGAGCGAAAGCGGGGAGGATGGCCGTGACATCACGCCCGGGCCCCCTTCTCCTAGCCCGGTGGGTGGGGCCTCAGCGCGCCGAGCGGGCGCAGGGTCAAGGAGGGGGAAGAGGAGGAGCAGGCCTGAATGTGTCCCTGTGAAGACTGGAGAAAGGCGAAGGCCCGAGGAGAGGGAGGAGGCGGGCGGGAGGTCGGGGGTGGTGGGGAAAGAGGGAGCGCACGCGTGGCTCTGGGAGCTCGGGCTCCCCCCTAGCCCAGGACTCGTGCGGCGCCCCGCCCTCTCGCCAGCAAGGTCCCCGTCGCAGCCGAGATCCGCTTTGGACCCGGGGAGAAGGCACGGTTTGGAAGGAGCCAGAAAGCAAAAGTAAGGCGAGCTACACTCCCAAGTTTTTCCAACTTCGCCCCCTGCGGCGGCAGGCACCCAGCAGCTCTGCACTACCCACCACTAAGGAGAGTGGCGGAAAGTAAAGGGACCGGATAGGGGTACGGGCTGAGGGAAAGGGAAAGGGTGAGGGAAGAGTCCCGCAACATCTGTTAAAACTTGGGGAGGAGGAGCACAGGCTGGCGGAGGAGGAAGAGGAGAGAAGGGAAGGAGGGAGCGTGAGGGAGGAACGCGCAGAACCGAGGGACAACTTTTCCACCGCCTGAGTTGCGCGGACTGCGTTGGGCCCGGACAAGGGGCTCCATCACCGGCGCGGGTCTCCTGGTCGAGATGGGACTTTCTCCGAGAAAGTCGATTGGATACCCGGAGAGGCGTACGGTGGGGGTTTTCTTTCTTTTTCTCCTCCCTCCCGTGGGTTAACCAAATCAGAACTGTCACTCAAGGCCTGTGAGTCAGAAGGGATCGGATTACACGATCCCTGAACCGCTGCCGGAGCTCCAAGAGCGGGAGGGAGCGGGTTGGGGCTGCGCCACCAGCGCTCTTGCACACTCGCGGTCGCCCACACTCACTGCCCCGACCGGCTCTACCCGCGGCTGCCCGCGCCGCACTATGCCGGCTGCTCGCGCTTCCAGAGCCCAGCTCCATCGCTAGCTGTAGCCCGAGCGGCTCGCGCCTTGTTGAGCCTGGAGAGGCTCGCCTGCTTTCCTGAGGAAGGTCTGTGGGAAGTTAGGGGACTTGACAGCCGCCGCCGCTGCCGCTGCCGCAGCCGCAGGTACGTCCCGCCCAAAGTTCTTTGTTTCGCTGGCCCCGCGCGGGGCAGCGGGCTCCTGTGGCCGCGCCAGCGCTACTAGGTCGAGAGGGGGGTCCCTAATGCGGGGGGCAGGATGTGAAAATGGCTGTCAGAGGCGCCCAGCTTTAGAGAGCAACGGTTAAGGCGTCAGAGCAAGGCTTTCATTTGCTGCTTCCTCCTTGAAGCTCCCTTTCCAAGTGTCTGGCCCCTCGGCCTTCCGGAGACGGACTGGAGAATTGCACGTCCCAGAGGGGGACGAAGTTTGCAGCAGCAGCGTCGGTACCCCTCATGCCCACTCCCCACTTAAAGAGTGTAAATGAACTGCATTAGATCCCAAAGCTAGGGCGCCTGCCTGCGCACTGTTACATCCCCTTCGGGTGCCGGGCACGGTGAGAGACTGGCGGGTAGCAGGCGGGTCCGCGCGGGACTCGCTACTGCGCGGCTTCCTCCAGCCTGCGCCTCCTTTCGGAGGGCGGGGGAGCGGTGTGCTCCATGGGAGAGACGCGCCTCCGAAGTAATACAGAAAAAGTGAAAGTTGTACCATCTGTGTATGATTTGGGATTCTTTCATTTCTTTTTCTTTTTAGGGACAGCACACACACACACACACACACACACACACAGAAAACAAGTAAACGAGTTAGAAGCTGCAGGGAGTAAGTGCGGGGGTGTGGGTAACGGTGGCCCCGATAATCACTTAGGCTGCATTTTGCAGAGCAGAGTTGTGTATGAACCACTTTTTAGGGGACAGTTGCTTTCTTGAGTTAGGAGGGAAAATAGGCCGGAGAAGGTGAAGACGGAGTAAATATTTACCCCAAACTTGGAGATTTTGTGAAGCGACTTTTAAGCAGATTGCCAGGTGCCAAAGCACCGCTGTACACCAGGGCCTGTTATCCTTTCCTGAACTTCGTGCTTTTGTCGCTGATTGCACCTGCTTCTGGAGATGCCGTAGGGAGGCTGAACCCAGCCTTTCTTTTCTGACTCCTTGTAGCAAGAGGCTTAAGGAGGCATCCTCCTTGCAGTTCTCCTGTCCCGAACTTCTCAGCTCCCTGGTTTGCAGTGCCGAGTAGATTCTGGCCTTGGGCACAGAGCTTGTGGCCCTCTGCCAGTTTATATGCACATGTATTTATGTAAAACATTTTCTCCCAGCTCTTTGCCAGCTGTTCCACATTTTCCAGCTGCCATTTCAGTTTGAAATGATGGGCTGTCCGCATCTCCAAGTAAAAAAGCTCTTTAGTCAGAGGTTTGGGGACACAAAACATAATTTTCCCTTCCATCTTCTAAGTTATTCTAGCTGGGCTAATGATCAAATTAACATGAGACAGATTAACAGGAGAAAATGTCCAAATTTATTACAGATGTATTTACAGGGTTGCCTTAAGAAAGATAGGAGACCCAAGGAGTCATTGGATAGTTGGGGTTTATATGGCATTCTTTACAAAAGAGAGGGAGGCAGGAGTCTGGGATTTCAAAGGGAAATTAGGCAATTTACAGGTAGATGAGAAAAAGCAAACATGTGGTAAACAAATTCTTGCTGGGCCACCCAGAAACAATTGTACATAGCGGGATGTCCAAAAAACACACTTTGCTGTATTTCTCCCTGTCTGCTGCATTTAATTTATGATTCTGAGGTGATGTTCCACCCGTTAAGCAGTTTTCTTTTTTCTGTCTGAATTCCTTTAGGCAGGCAAGTGGGAGGGCCTAAAGTTCTGAGTCTTTAATTTCTTAATAACCAACTTAAAAATCAGTATCCCAAAAGGCATATTTTGTGATGGCAAAACTTTGTTTCCTCTCAGTGTGATGGAGGGCCAGCCACTGTGCAAAGGTAGTGCTCATTAACCTGACTAGTATTATTAGTTCTAAAAAACATCTTCTGCTCTCCTTTTCCTTTCCTCCTCTCCAATTCATCTTTCCAGAGTACTTTGCTGGAAATTCACAATAATTAGGCTTTTTCCCCATATGTGATTTTGTACAGAATCTGGATGAGGCATTGTTTTAGATCCCTGAAATATGTGTCTGGTTGAAATAAATTAAGTTTTAAAAAGAGTTGCAACTTGAGTAGATTCGGCATGGCTGGTGGCGGGGGTGCTGTGCTCTGCCTCGTCCAACAGTAATGATTTCATTTCAGTCTATTTAAAGCAGGAACTATTCATTCTTCCCATGTTACACTTACTGTGTTGTTTGAGTTTTAGCATATTAGAGACTGAAATCTTCAAGAATTGGTCTGAAGTATTAATTTTGAGTATTTATGTAATTGCCCTGTAGTTTGAATAGGTGCCTTATTGATTGATTCCTGTAATTATTTCATTTAGGTTTTAAATTAAAAATTAATAATGGTCTGACAGTTTCTTAATTACATGTGTCAAGATTATTTTGAAAGGAAAATGCTGTTTTATAGGAGTAAAAATAACCTCAAAATCTTCCATTTTTTTCTAAAGCATAACAGTATTCCAGTTGTGGGGATATACTAAGGCAGTGGTGATCAGTCTTAATGTAAACAGTATGAAGTATCCAAGGAATTTGTTTATGTTAGGAAATATTGGTCTTAACAGCCTGGTGAATAAATACTTCATCCAGTTAGACTATAGTCAAACCTAAAACAAATATGAAAAAACATATAAATTAGTTGTAACAGCATACTTACAGAGAGAAGATAACTTATATTTTAGTAAAAGCTATTTAATTAAAAACTCCCTGCTTAAGGGGGGTCTCCTTTCAGAGTGTATAATTCTTAAAGTCAGCCCAGGGAAGCTTTGGTTTAAGATGCCTTAATGGTCCCAATGTGAGAGGTGTCTTGTGAAACACTTTAAAAGGTATAGATTATATTATTATTCATAGGTTAGTTGGTCCAACTCGGATTCCTACCAATTCCTGGTATCTTTAAGGTGTTTGGTATTCCTTGATTGAAGACTGGGCTAATAATAATAAACACATTTTGTTGTATGACTGGTTTGCAAAGAACTACACACAGAAATGATGAGAAAATGAGTACTGGTGAAAAATGGCTCTGCTGAGTTACTGCATTACTTATTTAATGAATCATTAATTTATCAATTTGATGCCCACTCCTAAAAGTTGCACTTTCCTTTGTTTCTAGGACAGTTTTTGTAATTACTTGCATGCTGTAGGGGTTCAGACTTCTGTGCTTACCTAGCCAGAGGTTGTTCCTTCTCTTTATCTTACTAAGATATCTTACTAAGATCCTCCTCCCTCTTTTTTCTGAAGGTAAGGTTTGGGAGTTTATGAAAGGAAACAATTTAATGATCATTATTCCATGAACTCACTTATATGGACAGTAATTTACTAGAAAAAAACAGTCTTGAAGGAAAAGTGAATCAACGAGTCATGAAATCCTCAAGAAAACCTTAGCAATGGAATGTTAATGCTTTTAGACTATAGTAGATTATCTTAAAAGTCAGACTTTCCTTCTTTATGCAATTGTTGTAAATCCCCAGCTAAAGAATTCTTTGAAAGAGGTTTTAGTTTTGCTGGCATTCATATTCTATAGTCAATCTAATTTGCTTTGGAAAAGTCAAGAAATTTTCTGCCAACTTATGTATGAGAGACAATTAAAATGCAGAGAAGACTGTAGAGGAAATGTGTGTGTATTTAATATGTTAAGCAAAAGATTCCACTGTAATAATGACTTCACATTGTCTTTTAATTTAAGTCTAGTAGAAGATGCTGTCCTTCACTTTGTGTTGTAATTTTTCTAGATAAAAAATGATTTGTTCTAGTCTCAAAGCAAATAAGGGGGGACAGAATAAACAACAGCAGTGCAGGGGTACCGTTGCAAACTTTTTCAAGTACTTTCAGAGTATTTTTTCATTTTTACTTTTATTTGACGGGCCTGTGAAATAGAGCTGTAGACCGGTGAAGACTTTAAATGAAATTTCACACTTTGATGATTTTTTTAAAAAAACTTTGATATATTGACAGCAAAAGGAGCTGCAGAGCTTTTATATAACTTGAACAGTAATGCCAAGCAGCAGTCAAATGTCTCTATGAATTTGTGTTTAACTGCAGAAGAAAAACATGTCCATGGGCAGTAGAGGTTCTTATCAACCCCCTAATCCCAGATCCCAGCAAACCTTAAGGGCATGCCTCAGATCTTGCTGAAATCACTGTAGACTCTCACAGTTTGCAGATTAAATATGCTATGTGTTCCTGGCTCCAACAACAGTTTTATGAGC